GCTAACCCTCATAATCATGACAAACACGAGAAAGTTAAAGCGCTTAGTCTGTTAAATCATTTAAATATTTCCTTTCTCGTTAAATTAACCCATTCTCCCGAGCCGCAGCACTAGCAAAGTGGCTGGAGTGTAATTAACAGCAAGTTTCCATTAGCCACGGGTGGTCCACTGGCCAAACAGTCTGGGACCCACTGGGCTAAGGTGCTGGGTGAGACCAGCAGGGAGGTGGTAGGGTCGGCAGGCTGGCAAGGCAGGGCTGGAGCTGGGGGTGCAGGTGGGGGGGAAGTGCAGGGCTTGGGGTGAAGGTGAGAATGTTGGGGGGAGGGGCGCAGTATAAGGGTGCAGGAGTGAATGGCAAAGGGGCACAGGATGAGGGTCCAGGGTGGGGGAACCCACAGCAGCTCAGGGAAATGGGGGTATAGGGGGCAGAGGCACCAACATCCAAGTTGACGCAGGGCCCCATTTTCCCCATGGCTGGTCCTGAACAGACCCCCGGGGGCAGCGCATTCAGCTCAGAGCAGCCCGTGGGCAGAGGCTCTGGCCCCAGGGTCCTGCTGAGGCTGCAGAAAGAGCCAGTGGCCAGCGGGACGTGGGAGGGGATGTGAAAGTGCAGAAGGCCCAGAGCCCAAGATAGAAAAGGAATGTGGCTGGTCCCTGCCCCCCGCCCCTCTGGCCTCTCTCTGCTCACACAAACTTCTGCTTTTCCTCCGCAGGGTCACTGCCCAGCGCCCCCCCCGCCTCGGCCCGTTCCCCGCTGCAGGTCGCCGCAAGGTAAGAGCCAGCCCGGCGCGCGGACACCGAGCCCTTCAGAGCCACGGACAGGCCGGAGGATGCCAGGCAGGGCCATGGCCTTAGGGTGCTGCTGGGCTCAGCCCCTTCTGGGCTATCAAGCTGGGGGGTCCCCGTGCCCGGCAGCACCCCCCGGCCACGCTCACCTCGCCGCGCGGTTTTGTATCTGGGCTCTTGGGGGGTGGGACCAGGAGATCCTTAGATTCCAAGGCCACTGAGCTCTGAGCTACAGCACGGCCACCAATGGCTCGGCAGGCCAGGGAGGGAGAACTGAGGCACCAGGGCGCCGATACCGGCACTTCAGGGAATGGGCCACTTCAGATCTGGCCCCTTGGCCGGGGGAACAGGCTTCAGGGGAGAAGCCCCACAGCAGCGCAGGGCCCCTACCCCAGTGCTCCGCAGCACCCATGGCACAAAGGGTTTGCAGGCTGCACCCCAGAGCAGGGGTTCGCCTCGGAGCTTTCCATTCGGTGGCAGCTGGGCACTCGGCTCTGCCTCGCAGAACGGCAGGGAGGGGGGCTCACAGAGCAGTAGGGGGGTTTGCAGCCTGCGGGGAGGGGGGCTCGTAGCCCGCGGGGAGGGGGGCTCACAGAGCAGTAGGGGGGGTTGCAGCCTGCGGGGAGGGTGGCTCACAGAGCAGTAGGGAGGGGGATTTGCAGCCTGCGGGGAGGGGGGCTCGTAGCCCGCGGGGAGGGGGGCTCACAGAGCAGTAGGGGGGGTTGCAGCCTGCGGGGAGGGTGGCTCACAGAGCAGTAGGGAGGGGGATTTGCAGCCTGCGGGGAGGGGGGCTCGTAGCCCGCGGGGAGGGGGGCTCACAGAGCAGTAGGGGGGGTTGCAGCCTGCGGGGAGGGTGGCTCACAGAGCAGTAGGGAGGGGGATTTGCAGCCTGCGGGGAGGGGGGCTCGTAGCCCGCGGGGAGGGGGGCTCACAGAGCAGTAGGGGGGGTTGCAGCCTGCGGGGAGGGTGGCTCACAGAGCAGTAGGGAGGGGGATTTGCAGCCTGCGGGGAGGGGGGCTCGTAGCCCGCGGGGAGGGGGGCTCACAGAGCAGTAGGGGGGGTTGCAGCCTGCGGGGAGGGTGGCTCACAGAGCAGTAGGGAGGGGGATTTGCAGCCTGCGGGGAGGGGGGCTCGTAGCCCGCGGGGAGGGGGGCTCACAGAGCAGTAGGGGGGGTTGCAGCCTGCGGGGAGGGTGGCTCACAGAGCAGTAGGGAGGGGGATTTGCAGCCTGTGGGGAGGGGAGCTCATAGCCCACGGGGAGAGGGGCTCACAGAGCGGCAGGGAGGGGGGCTTGTAGCCTGTGGGGAGGCTCCCAGCCCACGGGGAGTTCACAGCCCGCCAGAGGGGGGCTCGCAGAGCAGCAGGGAGGGGGGCTCCCAGCCCACGAGGAGTTCACAGCCCGCCGGAGGGGGGCTCGCAGAGCAGCAGGGAGGGGGGCTCCCAGCCCACGGGGAGTTCACAGCCCGCCAGAGGGGGGCTCGCAGAGCAGCAGGGAGGGGGGCTCCCAGCCCACGAGGAGTTCACAGCCCGCCAGAGGGGGGCTCGCAGAGCAGCAGGGAGGGGGGCTCCCAGCCCACGAGGAGTTCACAGCCCGCCAGAGGGGGGCTCGCAGAGCAGCAGGGAGGGGGGCTCCCAGCCCACGAGGAGTTCACAGCCCGCCAGAGGGGGGCTCGCAGAGCAGCAGGGAGGGGGGCTCCCAGCCCACGAGGAGTTCACAGCCCGCCAGAGGGGGGCTCGCAGAGCAGCAGGGAGGGGGGCTCCCAGCCCACGAGGAGTTCACAGCCCGCCAGAGGGGGGCTCGCAGAGCAGCAGGGAGGGGGGCTCCCAGCCCACGAGGAGTTCACAGCCCGCCAGAGGGGGGCTCGCAGAGCAGCGGAGCCGGGGCAGGGTTTGACCCGAGCTGGCTCAGGTGCATGACAGAAGCCGGGGGGCTCTTCCTGTGCCCTCCACACTGAGGCTTCGCTGCTCCTCTCCACTCTCGGGGTGCCGGGGCCGCCCCTGCCGCAGGAGGGGAGAGGTGCCACTGGGCAACAGTCTTTTCCCAATCCCCGCAGGCAGCTCCCCCAAAGCCAAGAGGGGGGCAGGGCAAATTGTCCTGGGAGCAGGTTCCCTCCTGTCCCCCATTCTGGCAGGATGCCCCTGGGCACCGGGCCCCGCAGCCTGGCCCCACCCTGGGCTGCCCCGCTAGCTGTGCTCTCTGCTCTCTGCAGCGCTGGGGCCGACATGATGCTGGGGGCCGTGCTGCTCTGCCTGGCCGTGGCCTCCCTGGCCAGCGCGGAGGGGTGCCCGGGCCACGCTGCCATCCCGGGC